AATACCTTAGAAGGATTTAATCCATTATATCATATACAAACTACATCATATAGTGGTATTGATAAAGTAAATTTTAACCTTTCCACTAAGATAACGTTATCAAAGAAATGGCTGATGGACAAAGAAAGGTGACCCTTTATCTTTACATTTGTCAATATCAACCATTACATAATGTTATCGCGGAAATTTTTCTATCACTAGTAAAATTTAATATAGAAGCATGAACGTAGGACAAATATAATGACTTTATCTACTTAGCTTTCAATCATTACCATTATATTTCAATGGATAACTCTTCATAAGAGGACAAATATACCTAATTTACGGGTTTTGTTTCACAGCGCTAGGTTTATCGTTCTTACATGGTGACGGTTACTTTTTTGATGTAACAGTTGTGATGAACAGTCATAGGTCATTTTCTCTATTTGGATACAGAAGATAATAACCAACCGGTTAATATTTTTATTTGATCAAACAAATTTTGTCTAAATGGCATAGTATATATAGTAACTTAATTTCACGGGTAAAAATGCAAACATAACAGACATGTACACTAGAAACATACAATACATGAAAAAGATCTAAACAAGTCAAGTTAATATTAATAATATATATATAAGTACATAGATAATTGACCAATGTGGACCTTATTTTCGCAACTCCGTGGATTGCTTTATATAACCCACAACACTAGACAAAATATCTTTATTGGGATCTAAAATAGTTTTAAGTTAAGAGTTTGAGTCAAGCTGGTTAAAATTAGGATAATGGTTTTTTTTTTTTTTTTTAATTGCATATACAAGGGGATTTCTAATATTACTGCTGATTTGGCAATGAAGGAAAAAAGTGTTTCTCATCATCTAAAATTTTCCAAACTTTACACACTCTATGTTTTCTTATATCGACCTATTTCAATTTCCAAGTTATCGTCACTTATACGGAATTTTGTTAAAAGTTGACAACTATCAATTTTTTTAGATTGTGGAAGTAGTCTTCCAGTTTAATTTCATTTTTCAGTTTACTATAAAGGTAAAATTTTGGAATGTTATCTTTATTTGAAAGCTTTTCAAATATATATAATTCGACCTATCATATTTTCGTACAAATACCTGTTCAAGCCAAAAATACTAGGAAGTCTTTCATCGTCTCTCTTCGATGCTTTGTTTTATGAATGATATTCTTCAAAGGTGGTATATAGATCTACACTCTGTGGTATAACAGTCAATAATAGAGTAATTTTCATGTGATTAAAGTTTTCATTTGTTTTATTTGGACTCATTTCCTGATAAAAAAAACATATTTTGAGACATCAACTGTTAAATTGTTTGATGCTTTAAACTATCGTTGAAAATATTTATTGTCTTAGTAAATTGACGATTTAATGATATATCTACTAGGGTTGAAATATTTTTTTTTTAAATGTATAAAACATCCATTAAATGGTATATCACTCATTAGGTAAATGTTTTTGTACACCTGGCGCGTGTTTTGTCCTGAACTAAAACTCAGTGGCGCTCAACTCAAAATATTCGAGGGCCAAATCAATGACGAAGTTGAAGAGAACAGAAAAAAAAAGATCCAAAAAGTTGTGGCAAACTATGCTTAAGATTATATTTAATGGGAGGTACAAAACCTTGGTGTTTCGCATGATTTCACATGACCGCATCAAAGATATGTCATGCAAACACATAAGTGCCGACTACTGGACTGGTGATACTTTTGAGGACAAAACGTACACCATCAATGGTATAGTTCACTTGTTTTAAAACACATCAAAGATACAAGACTTATATTTTAGTAGCCAGAGGGGCGCTCCGTCTACATATGACCCCTCAGTGGCGCCCAACATATCATTGTGTGGCAAAATTAATTGTTGTAAAGCATTGAAACTAAAAAAGATAGAGATATTTCTTAGTTTAGGGAGATTCGATTAGTATATAATCTATGCTATCATGTTTTGAAAGGAGTAGTTCCGGTAAGGGCCGATTTTGGCCTCAAAATTCAGGTTCATCTGATGAAAGATTTTGGACACTTTTTAAACACTTAAGTGTCTACTTCAGTCGATTCAATTAGTTTAAGTGAAAGATTTGAACTGATTTAGTCATTAAAGACGCTCAAATTCAAGCTTAAATATGAAAAATCTATCAAATATGCCATAATATGTCACTTTTCAGATGGTTTTTGTCAAAAATGAAAGTGGCCGCATCTGTGTTCATTCTCAACCTTTATATATGTTATGTATTATCATCAAATACAACTTACATTTAAATATTAAGAATGAACACAAATGCGGCCACTTCCATTTCAGACGGAAACCGTCTAAAAATTAACCAAAGTGCTAAAATTTCGAAGATTTCAGTAATTTAGCATGACTTAATGATGCTAGTACCCGATACATGTGCAATGTATTGTCAAAAACAGCCCATATTTATGTAACAGAAGTATTCTTCTTTCCAATAAATAGCTAAAAATTTACATTTTAACAATTTTGTAAAACTGCTATATTTTGGGGCCAAAAAAGAGGTCTTACTGGGCCTACTCCTTTGGATACGGTTATCAGTTTGACCAACGTTCCTTGGAATTTACATTAGTTACTCATTCCAAAAGTATTAATATCTGCAGCATATCAGGTTATATTCTGTATTATTAATAACCTGCTTGAGCTTCTCTTATATAGCTGTATAAAAATATCAGGTACTGATGAGTTTTGTTATATAATACTTGGAGACAACAGTGGTTTACCCTTGTTTAAATCTCATAAATCGATTAGGAAGACAAATCAAATTAACAAACACAAAATGAGGAAAACGCATGAACTTCAATATACATCAATCACCCGCCATGTGAATCCACACTCAGTTAAAATGTCACGGTCTGGAATCGGACACAATCGGACACAATCGTGTATTACTGATTAGACGACTGTTCTAGTTTCTAAAGATCTAAGACTGCTAGTAAGTTGAGACACAGATATATCGTATCGAGCAACCAATGCATGATGGTGGCCGTAAAGCCAATGAATTGTCGATTTTAGTAGTTCTTTATCATAATTCTATTGGAGCAGTTATGTAGAAGACAGTTAAAATGTGAATATTCAACAAACATTACGCTGATGGATAGTTGTCTTATTGGCAATCATACTACAGTTCCTTATTTTTATGATGTTTAAATACCATCATTGTGATATTTTGGGCAAAAATTGTTTGTTTACCCTTTTAAAACGATCAAAGTTTTCCCCTTTAAATTCGTTATCAAAGTTTTCTTAGACAGCGTTGCTTAATCTGTAAACCTACATCAAAACTTTATACCAAAAGCTTTGACGAAATAGACTTCCATCTTATTTTGTTTAAAACAAACTGAATTTCGGAAATGAAGATAAACAAAAGCACGTTGCTATACGAAAGAAAAGTAAGCCTACAAGTTCGAATAGAATGGTTAGAAATAAAACAAGATAAGGATATCATATCTATGCAAAAACTCATAATAATGACAGGATTATAATTTATTGAGCCAGACGCACGTGTCGTCTAAATAAGACTCAGCAGTGGCACTCAAATAAAAACAATTCAAATACAAAGCTGAGATGCATTGCAAGCCAAAAAAATCCGAAAATTGTGCCTAATACGACTAAGGCAATCAATGTCTAAAGGTAGCCTCTGTAATAAGGATGAAAATAATATTATGAATTTTAGATAATAGAAGTTACCTGAAGGTTGGTCAGTGAATATCCTCATGATAATCCTTGTCTATAATTACAGGAAACCTTGACATTGTAAAAGGTGAAAAACCATTTACTAAAATTGAAAAGAAAGGATGTCAGAAAGTCATGAGCGACTCTCTTTACTTTTATTGTAAATATTGATAAAGAAGAGAGAAGTCTGTAAATATCGTTGAGCTCATGCTCCAGAAAATGCATGATAGCCAGATAAAACACTGACAAATTCAAACAACCAATAATTGTTTGACGTAAGGGTTAAGTTGAAATCCTCAAAACCGAGAGATGTCAAATTCGAATCCTTTCATACTTTCTACTGAAGATAAGATTGTCGATTAACATGTTTCAACAACGACTGCATATATTGAAAGCGGCTGCTGTGTCAACGTATATTTATTTCGCCTAGTAGAAGTTCCCCTGGAAACTTTATAAACAATGCCACAATATCTGTTTCTGTTGGAACCAATATTCTAGATCCTTTATTCTGTTGGGAACAAATACTGTAATATTTGTTCCAACGGAAATAGTATTACAGAATATTTCTTCCACTTGGAACTTATATTATGAAGGAACTTCTATTTCATGACAGCTGAACACCACAAGGTTTCCACTATGTTTTGGCTGTCTTTATTCCACAAGAAACCTTATAAATTTCGTTTTATATCTGCATTCAGTAAATGTTCAACTACTCCTGTATCGATTGTCCTAGATTATGCTCTTTCCACCGTTATATACAGTTCTGTGACATAAAATATGTCAAAAGCGGTATTAACTATTTCTGGAGTGTGATAAAAACTCTAAAGTTTTCAATAAGATACGATTCTTTGATGAAAAGTTTGTTGCCGTTGACAATTTGAGGTGAATTTAAACTACACTATCACACAATATAATGAAAGAAAAGTTTCCTATTCAATAAAAAGGTATTATTTTAGCTTATGACCAATCAAATAATATTTGAAACTAACAAAAATTTCAGAACAATGGCGAACAGTCAATAATCAAACGTATTTTAAACATAAAAGATGTCTTGTACATTAAAAAGTGGCTTTTTGGAAGTTCCGGTCAAAATGTGTAAATTTGATGAAAGCAAAAACACTTCCTAGCAACGAACTGAACCTTGATATTATAATATGCATTGTAACTGTCAGCATCAAATAAATTCTTACAACTCTCCCCGCTAAGGACAAAACGTAAAACTTGCAATATTTCAAAAAACCCAATTTAGTAAAATACTTCGGTTTATTTTTATTAAAAGTTCACGAAGGTTCATATAAAATATACTCACCGTAAGTTAATGAGTCAAGTTGAGAGACATGGGTATAAAGACTACTGGGTTGAATCAAAGTCCTCCTCTCAGTGTATTCTCTTCAGAGTAAAGAGGGGGTTTAAAATATAACAATTTTACACGAAAAAATCTCAGTTGACCATAAATCACACGCAGATGCTGCAAAATTAATCTTTTGTCACATTATCCGTTCATTGATGATTTTAGTTGAACAACAAAAAAAAAACCATATGCTACACATTGAGTCGTTTGTTACATATTTCGTACAATATGAATTGATTGTGTAAATTTTAAACAAATAATTGATGCATTGTTTAGGAGTAATGATGTAGACAAGTTAAATGAATAACGTTTTTCAATCAATCAAGAATTTTTTTTTCATAATTGACGTAAAAAGGGAAAAACTTCAAATAAATTGGAAAATGCTGTATTTTCATTAAAGTTTATATGGTGGGGAAAACCAAAGAAATATCATTCTATATCATACCATATATAAAAGAGAGGCGAAAGATACCAAAATGACATTCAAACTCATAAGTCGAAAATAAACTGACAACGCCATTGCTAAAAAAGAAAAAGACAAACAGACAAACAATAGTACACAAAACACAACATAGAAAACTAAAGACTGAGCAACACGAACACCAACAAAAACTGGGGGTGATCTCTGTTGCTCCGGAAGGGTAAGCAGATCCTGCTCCACATGTGGCACCCGTCGTGTTGCTCATGTTAGTACACACCCGGTAATAAGTCTAATTCGGTAGATCAATTTAGAATAACATGTGTTTTATAATATTAAACAATATATCAATAAGCGGGTGTAATTACATATATCAATAAGCGGGTGTAATTACATATATCAAAACCCGATCCTTTGGTTTTATAAGTCACTTAAAGCATTTATACACAATAAAAAATATAATCATTTAACGATAAAATTGTGAAGTTAATTATAAAAATACGTTCTCCATATAAATCCATGCTGTGTCAATGTAAACGATAGATTTTAAAAAAGGTTTATGCAGACGTTACTTAAGTGACAGTAACATAATTTCAAGTACCAAATTTTATCGGAATTAAAATGCTTCACATGTTTCTAATGGACATATTGTACATTAAAAACAAATTTAAAAAAAGAAGAAGAAAAAAGAATGTTTCACCGAGTTCAATTACGAGAAATATAATTATATACTGAAGTGAACTGTTGGGTCAAGATGCGCATTTCATTTCGGGTAAGCGATAATGGTAGCCTATTCCTCAATTCCTCTGCCCATATCGTAAACTTCGTTTTGAAGCTGATATATTTTCACATATGTGGTTAAATTTTCGGGGTACAAAGTGAGATTCGTTTTTCTGTAATTTAGCACACCCCGAAAAGCCTTTTGTGATGCGGCTTCTAGAGGTAGAAAATCTCTTTTTTCTCAAAACAAGTTCTTTGAAGATTTAGTTCCTTGCATACATTTTTAAAATAACTCCATAGTTTTTACACCTTCATTCTATGGTCATCTGCTCTCCAAATCAGCACAAATGGTTAAGCTCAGTCACTTGTTTAAAATTGAAACATGTCCAATATCACTGCACATAGATTTTTTTTTACGCACTACTTTTTATTTCCTCAATTTGAGTCGCATTAGAGAAATTGACCCATATGTATATTCTGTGTGGAACCCTAGAAATGGTACGTCGTAACGTCACAATTTACTATGAAAGGTTTCACTTCAAAACAATTGTCCACTCATTGTGACAAATCGTTTTTAACCATGCATATACTTCTTGAAATTATAGACTAGACAGGATAAATGGGCTAAGTTATTATCTTCCCTGAAACTAGTGGATGCGCTTTTTAAGGACACACAGAACAATAGCAAGGGAGGGTAATGACATTGGCAAAGTTAACATTTTATGATGTCGTACACTATATTGGTAGACAAAAAATGAACATTTCATCTAAAACTAAAGTTATTCTTTAGTAAGTAATTTGAAACTCTTTCGCCACATTAAAACGCAAATGAACGCAGATGGTAGTCAGTCAGTTCTAAATTATCGGCATATCCATAAAGATAAGGAGGTGTGGTAGGATTGCCAATGAGACCACTATCCACCAATGACCAAATGACGAGAATGTAAACAACTAAAGGTCACTGTATGGCCTTCAACAATGAGCAAAACCATACCATAAAGTAAGCTATAGAGGGCCACTACATGACAAAATGTGAAACAATTCAAAAGGGAAAACCAATGGCCTGATTTATCTTTCGCATACATGGATTGTTCTTACGATTCCTTACGGATCGCACAATTCACGGATCCTTACGATTTTGGCATTTTTACAAACGATTTAAGAGCTGTTACGAGTTAGTATTTAAGGTTTATAATGGATTATTACGAGTTAACGGCAAAATTCAACGATTTGTTACGAGTTGTCACGGACTACTACGAGCAACTTACGGGCATTTTACTAGTTTTTGACGGATTATTACGAGTATATTACGGGATGTTACTATTCATCGAAGCTTTTACGTGTTAGTTACGACCTGTTTATGTGTTGTTAAGAGTTTTTACGAGTCATTACGATTTTGTAGCTTTTATACCTTAAAAAAGTTTCCCCAAATCGTAAACAAAACATAAGAATACGTAAAGTATACGTAAGAATACGTAAAATATATGTATTTATTCGTAAAGTATACCTATCTATTCATAAAGTACTCGTAACTAGTCGTAAAATGCTCGTTATAACTCGTAACAATCTGTAAAGCTATCGTAACACGACCCGCATGAAATTGAAATGATATTATTTGACGGATTTAATTGTATATAGTTTACGTAGCCAATACATAGTAGAGACAATCAAATGTTCAGAAGATACCTAAAGATGGGATGTGGTAATAATACGAGTGTCTACTCTAAAAGTCTGTGACTCTGTGGAGCACGCGGACTTGAATGTAGAGGAATCTATAATCTCATTCTTAAAAACTTCCGTTAAATATTTACGTCATACTACTACCTTATTGATGGCTGCTTTGTCGACAGGTATGAACACAAAAACGCTTTATGAATTCTTGAAGGGTTTTTTTTCTAATCCTAGATTTATATCGTTTTATAAACTCTTTTATTGATTTCTAAATTATTTTCAAAATGTGTGATTTGCGAATATCTATGATATTCAAATAAGAATCAAGTGACCTTTATCAGATTCCTCACATTTTCTATAATTTTTACAACAGGAAAAAACGTGGTCGTGTTCAACATGTTCGTTAATACCCATAGTTCTACAATATCCTAGCTCGGTCGTCATTAACGTGAAAGTGCTAGAGATTACCTCGTTCTTTCTCTTTTATCAGTTTGAATGCACATATACGATAAACTTCTTGTTCCTCGTAATGGTCATCGTTATTTTCTATGAAGTATTGTTGATGTCAGTCGAACACACCTGTATTTTAAACTCGATTACATACTCCTTTTAAAAATATTTCCCGACATCACTGTCTTGTCGAAAATTAATGGATAGAATTGCATTTTTGACAACATAATTGATCTCTACAAATACTTGAATGTGATTGTTCGTTAGAATTTTTCCTTGGTTTGCACTTCGATAGACCACGATTTGACTACGACAAATATGAAATCCTGGGGTTCCGAAAAGTTCAAATTGAAAGAAAAAACCCAAGAAAGTTAAGGTTGAGAATGAATAGGATAAACACATTGTTTATGGCGGTTAAGTGCAAACCTGGCCGCTAACTCACAAATTTTACAAAGGACTTTAATCAGATTGTGAGTTTATTCGCTCCAGTTTACACATCAATAACCTCTAGAAAAAATTGTTTGTCCTATATTGATGTATTACTGTCTATGCGGATTTTTGTAACATTTATTCAAAGCATTGATGATGATGAGGAGGAGGAGGGGGAGGAGGAGGAGGAGGACGACGACGACGACGATGACCTGTTAATGTGACATGAATATGAACCCAACTTTGTACTTAATCAGACACGCTAAGCTAGATTTTTCAGTAGTTCACAAGGTAACAGTTCAAGACAATGCATCTTACCCAGACGCATTATTCGACTAAGTCCGACCGGCCAGTTATTGTTTTTACATCCTAAATGCTTCAGGATTAGCTGAGTAGCAACCAATACCAATTTTTAAGTCTTTGGTTTGACCCGGCCGGGAATCGAAACCCACAACCTTCTACACCCGAGGCAAGCATGCTTCCACGAGACAACTGAGTCGTTAACAAGCATTAGCATCAAACATGTGAACAGGCAGCTTGGGCATGAACTACCTTTTTAATTTCTTTGTATACTCAGTAATTAGATTCATTTTTCATTATCTTAGATTTGTTTCCATTGTATAACGTGAGCAAGTGTATCACACAATATCACCCTTTACAAAATGTACCCTTAGAGCTGAAATAACAAAATAACTTGATTTAAGAAAATATGTTAAATACACATATACACTCGTGTATTATCCTGATTCTTATTACCTTGACATGCATTGAATTGATTCACATGTTTTTTTTTTATCACCGAGTCTCTATTTATTAGCTTACTATAGCGTATGGATTTTGCTTATTGTTGAAGGCGATAGGGTGAACTGCAGATGTTTTTATAATTATCCTTTGGTGGCTACGTGTCTCATTAGAAATCATATCACATCTCCCTATTTTCATATAGGTCTTGGAGTCAAGATTACATGTCCAATTTCACAATGGTTTTTCTCGAATAGGGGTAAGATTTTATACAAAATCTAAATTTGAAAAATATGAATAGTATAGACTAAAATACCACATCTTCAAGTGTCGAGTTTTAAACAGATTCCACTGTAGATTAAACTTTACAACAACAACAACAACAACAAATACTTTATTAGAGTCTCACCTCTTTAAAACATTTGATATAAAACACAATATAATAAGCCACTTTAAAAAGAGTTATGAGAGACTGTAAAACACACATTAAAAATACATTTATATTACATACATAACATATATCAATATATCTTAGCATAAAACACTATAATATTAAAAAGCAATTCTTTTCTAATCATAATCAGAAGATAAAATAAAAACAAAACATTAATTCATATACAGTTATTACGAGTATAAAATACACTTTCTCTTAAAAAGTACTTCATGGCAGATTTTGGCTGCGAAATAGCAAACTCTCGTCATGAAACATAAATAAAAACTTTTCCT